AAAAAAAAGGAGGGGAAAGAAACACAATACGGCGCACGTGCACCGGCTTATCCTTTTTATTTTTATATCAACCAAGTGTTTACGTTGAAAAAATTGTCATTCAATGATAAATATGCGTTAAAATGCAAATGTGAATGTAACTACGCAAAATATTTCAGAGGAATTCTCAAATTTGTTAATATATTGTATTCATTACTGATATATATTTGTTATTAATATATTATATTGCAGACATTCGTTATTAGAATTTAAGAATGCTCGTACTTTTTGTCTAAATCGCGTACCGAATTTTACAAATATTCAGAAAATTATTGCAAATATCAAAGTTTCGTAATTTAGACAAGCTTCGATGAGCATGATAAATTACGCAGCTTCTATATAATTACACTTACATCCGAAATCGTATATAAATGCAAATATGATGACATCATAAAGATAAAACGGGAAAGTTATTAAAATTGAAATAATTTCGCGACCGAGATGCAGTACGGTATGAGTATTTCTAACTGAAAATTCTGGAAGCATCTCGTTTAAAGTTTCTAACGGTTTCTAACGGTTTCTAAAAGGAAGCCATGTTGAATGCTTCAATTACGCGTTTGAATGTGCAATAATTCTCCAAAGTATTCTTATTTGATTTTAGCAGAGCCGATCATAAGGTCTCGATTATGTTTAATGTAAAAACAACGAAAATACGATAAAAGAGAAATATGTTTAACCTATTTTGTTCTAATACGTTACCAAAAGTCACCAATTTCCCGCCGAATTGCTTCTAATGGGCGTCCATAGTCGTCTTATCGGTGGCGCGTTCCTTCTAGCCGGCATTCTGAAACAGAAAATACACATTAATACGAAGTAGTTATACTAAATTCACAATGATTGAATAAAAAGGAAACAATTATTTACTCGAGGAATGTTGCCAAAGATTGCAAATTGATCAAAAACTGTGTAAATACTAAGTGGTATCGGGGGGAGAACAGAAATCGTGAAGCCGGTTCACTTTATCCAGGAATACCGAGTTAATTTACAATTATTTACGCTGAATTGAATAGATACTAAACGAAAGTAACGATAGAGTGCTAACGTGGATACTAATAACATTAATAATTTAACGTTAAAAGTAATAATACTTACTTCGCCACGAGCGAGATCACTTTACGTCTGATCAGTTCAGCTTCCCTGGGACCACTGAGAAGAATGACCGTTAGGCTTCCCATGACTGACTATGATTGGCGGATCGGTGTGTGAAATGCGCGGATTGGTCCCTGCCCTCCTCGCGACGCTTGCTATTTTTTCGAAATAGAATGTTTACCACCGAATTATATTTCAATACATATTTCTTATACGCATCCGAGATTAATTCAGAAGGGAATAACTACCATAAACGGGAAACAAAGAAGCACACACTATCCCCGAAAATGTGATATTCCACTTCGTAATAGATCGAAAGTATTAATTTTGCTCCCGTCTTCTCGAAGTTTTCAATCCTCCAATGGTTCTCTAACGCCATCTATGATAAATATATCCTGTCAATTCGACAATGATGCCTAAGTTTATGAAATACAATATGACAAATATTACCAGTTAATTAATAGATAAAAACGATTTTTTATAAAGAAAGCTTGACTAGTTGAGCTCTAGTTGGGTCGAAGTTCATTATTTAATTACTCCCTAGCAGAGATGGGCAAACTCATTATCTAGATAAAAAGTTTCGAATAATGAGTAATAGATAAAAACAGTATTTCATCATTTTTAATTGTTTAAACGTGGAAATTTCAATTTTTGTAATAAAATAGTACTTCTTTACGAATGAATCGACATTTGTCGAACAATTATTTAATCTCATTAACTGTTTAAAACTCAGGACGACATCCTTAGATACTGATGCTTTTCACTGTGTATAACTCTGCTCCCTAGCCAATTGCCAGAAGGTAATTGATTGTCCATATGTATATTAAGATTCTTATATCACGTTATCAGATAAAAAAATATAAAAACGAATAAAAAGGGTACGTGCAAAAAGTAACATTACTAAAGTGTCCATTAATGATGCATTTAGGATAAGTTATCTTATAGATAAGTGAAAAAAATATATACTTTCGCGTGTCACATTTCATCAGTATTATATTCATCCTTTAAACCAAAACATCGGATATTTTTATTATGTACCACCAAATCATATTGGATATACGTATTATAAATAGAATATATAATGCTGCATTTGTGCTAATAATATTCAGAATTCATGCTTTATCGGTAATATAGGGTATTGACACCAAAATGGTAGAGGGCTACATAGCCCTCCGGATGCCACCTAACGTGGGGCAGAAAAAAGCAGTGGATGATAGGTCTATTCTATGCCTAGTTGATGGTAGTAGCTTGGATTGGAAAGGAGATCGTAACGTCTTGGCATCGTGTAACAGTTTCTCTGAATACATCGAGCTTAGAAGTTTTTCCTACTACGATAGAAGCTCGTTAGTACTGTTGGTACTGTCAGTTGTCTTACGTGCATATTTGTATCATATCAAGTGTAACGACGTGATAGGTTATGTTTTTTAGTCATCTACTCCCAAAAATGTCACGTTTGATACGATTAACTGTCAGTCGTCGCTTTCACTGCACAATATTATGTTGATAGTCCGCAGTACATAGAGAAGAAATTAACGTGATTCCTTCACCCGAGACATGTGCAATGTTAAAGCATGGTTATCACTCCGCGAAAGATGAAACAGGTTGCCTTCTCCGTGATTTGTGTAATACTAGGTAAGTGTCAAGGTTTTTAAAAAATATCCAACTTCCAGTTTTTGTCACGTATTAGTAGACAATCTGTGGGGAAGATTTTTTTGCAAATATAAATGTTAATAAATTATAGACAGTGTGACCTAACAGACATTTGCTTATTGTATGAAGGATTGTATTGAATGCCAAAGAAAACAAAAATCTCATTGAACATTTTTTTACCATTTTATTATGTTGTGTTTTAGACAATCATCTATCCAATGAATACATAACATTTTCACTTCACTCATTAGATATCTAGTGGCAGAAAAGTTTATACATTAGTAAACTCAATACTGAAACCAGTACAGTTAATTGGTAATAAGAATAATGGCTTACAAATATCTATATTTGTTACTGTATATAAGCAAAAAGCTTTGAAAAGCAATGCTAGTTATTTTTATGAATTCTAAATGTGGTATTTTTAAAATCTTTCAGTGTTAGGATTCTATAAGACATTAGTTAGCCCAGAAGAAGAACAGTCTTTTCCCAGAGTTCATCCACGGAACCATAAATCTCATGTGGTTGATACAAATGATATTGAATCTGAAAATCAAAGGGTACAAGATATTGAAGTAGATGCACCTTATGCGGACATTAAAGATATCGAAGAAGCAAAATCAAGGATTAGAGATTTGGAGGGTAAATTGCAGCACCTTGAGGTCGGAAGAGAATCTTGGTCACAGGTGGAGCAGGCTTTGTTGGGTCACATTTGGTTGACCGTTTAATGTTGGCTGGCCATGAAGTAACAGTTGTAGATAACTTCTTCACTGGAAGAAAACGCAATGTTGAACATTGGGTTGGTCATGAGAACTTTGAGCTTGTTCACCATGACATTGTTAGACCTCTCTATTTAGAAGTAGATGAAATATATCACCTTGCCAGCCCAGCTAGTCCACCACACTACATGCTTAATCCAGTGAAAACAATAAAAACGAATACTTTAGGGACGATAAATATATTAGGTATGTAACATTATGTAATAGGTATTACCCACTAAAATACAGAAAAAAATAATTAGAAAGTAATTTGAATATTGTTGGGCTTTATCAGGTCTTGCGAAACGAGTAGGAGCAAGAGTTTTAATAGCTAGTACCTCTGAAGTGTACGGAGATCCTAATGAACATCCTCAAACAGAAACTTACTGGGGCCATGTGAATCCTATAGGTATATAAGCAATTATATTGACATAACTCGTTTTAACGAAACTGAACGTTCATGTTGCTACTGTTCCAGGTCCAAGAGCTTGTTACGACGAAGGAAAGCGCGTGGCTGAAACACTGAGTTATGCTTACATGAGGCAGGAAGGTGTTTCAGTACGCGTTGCTCGAATTTTTAACACATTCGGGCCTAGGATGCACATGAACGATGGCCGTGTAGTTTCAAACTTCATTTTACAAGCACTACAAAATGATTCGATTACGATATATGGAAGCGGAAAGCAGACGCGTTCATTTCAATACGTGTCTGATCTAGTCGATGGATTAGTAGCTTTGATGGCTTCTAATTACACTCAACCTATTAATATTGGAAACCCTGTAGAGCATACAATAGAAGGTAAATATATACGATACAGTGTAAAATACTTTTCGAGTGGAATACGTTACTAATAAGAGCTGCCTCTTTTAATCATTTCAGAATTTGCACTGATAATAAAAGATTTAGTTGGTACAAAGAGTAAAATAGTCGAGCTTGCCGCGGTCGAGGATGATCCTCAAAGAAGAAGACCAGATATAACGAGAGCTAAGATATATTTGAATTGGGAGCCAAAGATCCCTTTAGCCGAAGGGCTTAAGAAAACGATATTGTACTTCGCTAAAGAGTTGCAGAGAACGAAACACTCGCAAAAAACTAGTTTTATGCAGCCTTCTTATAAGAACGATCATGACATAGTAGAACAACTATAGAAGACAGAACGTTAACACGAATAATTTATCCACTTCTAACAGTGACTTGAAAGTGCCATTAAGCTATGGACCAGTATGTGCCAAAATATCCCCCGTCCAAATTGAATTCTGTATAATTTTTTATATTAACGGGTACATGATATTCATTTTTAACAAATAAAAATACATGTTTAATTTTATTTCAGCTTTACGACAACTATGTTTATTAAGTTCTGTGCACACTTTTGTTTATTGTTGACTGCAAGTATTTATTTCAAAGGGCCACACCGTTACTTATTTCGCGACGGAATGGAAAATTATAATCGTGTTTCTAACAGGTATCTTTTATGTAGAAATATCTAGATCGCGTAACGCTCACCATTGTTTGTTATAGATCAGAAACTTGTACGATCAGTCGACGGTGCTGATGAAAGCTATTCATGTTCTTTCTTCTCTACGATTTACTAGGGTAAACTATACGAACCTTAATATATCGAGTTGATTTTACTTAATATTTCTATATAATCGATTTTCCTCCGACTGTACCATGTTCATCGTCTTTTATCGGACTTCTTTAACGTGTATCATAGCAACGTAATCAATGTGCACTTGTGCAAATTAGTCAATTTTCAAAGAGTGTTTCTGCCATCGAATTTTTTATCATAGAAACAGAGGCGTTCACTCGAAGTTCTCGTTCTGTGAAACGGGAATCCCGAACATTTGTATGATAATAGTGCTCGTAATTGTGTGATATATATTGTATACATACACGGTATACGTAATTCGTACTGTAATATTCGAGAGCGTGTAAACAGGAAAGTAATTTTATACTTTACGAACAACTGTACACGGATAAGCGAGTAAACAGCTTTGTAAAGACGCCTTGTCATCGTAGCAACTGTATTGCGTTTAATTTATATATAAATAATCTGGCGGGGTTGAGACTCTTGTCCGCTTATGTAGATATACAATATATAAAATGAATGTTTACACCGCAATGCATATTGAATTGCGTCTTCATTTCCTTATATTATACAAATCCAAGGCGTTCCATAAAAATGAGCAGCCAAGTAATTTCTAACGACGTATCGTTTATTTCAGTGTCTCCTTATCAAGAATTCGTACGTCCATGTCCAAGAACACGTCTGTGAAGTACCCATATTTTCTAAAACATCTTGTCCCGCGCAATTCTGTGTTTTCCCCGTATCAAGAAGAATTGGTGTCATCGTTGCCCCCGTGAATGGTAGGGGCCAATTACCAGCAACGAATTGACCGTTTTACCAGCGACGACTGGCCACCGGCGCAGTCAGAAGGGCGCACATTGTTGCATAACGAGCCCGTGATTCTTCTTGTCCGGTTGCAATCCAACTAGATAATATTATAATTCCGGCAAAACGTGACCACTTGCTGAAGACGCATTCCACAGGCGAGATTGAAGAATCGCCCGCGCCGTTTAAAGCGTATTTGAAGGGCCCGATTGGTCTAAATGGGTGTCGCGTGGGCCCTGACAGGGCGCACGTGGTCGTCCTGTCTCCGCAGAAAGAGAACGAACCACCGTGGGACGTGGACGTCGAAGAGAGAGAGAAAACAAAAGCGGGCGGGGCGTAAGGGGGTGTTGGGGGAGGGGCAGTAAGACCCGCTTGGATTCTTAATGATAATCATCGCATCCGGGATATGCTGGCCGGCTCTGTCGTGGCGGATGGAAATGCCGCAAGGGTGAAGATGACCTAATCGGTGGGCCGCCAACAGCTCCGACGCGGAGGAAATAGGCATCTCTTCTCCGCCGTTATGATTTCGCATAACCGGTTACGGTTCGTTTTAATCGAGCCAGGCTTTAATTACACGCGAGTGTGTAAATAGCCAGAACAGAATCGGATCGGTGCTTGGACCTGGTTTTGTTCGATGGTGGTGTCGACTCTCGTTAAAGATGCACGCTCGCGCGTAGTATGTATATACACCGTGTGTAATCGACGAACTTCAACGACTTCCTGTCTGGCGAGACCGAAGGAACAGATGACCCAATTCACCGTGAAGTCTCTACCGTGAATACTCTATCTGCCGGTGGTCCGCCGGTAATCCGATCTATCTATTGGTAAACGAGACGGGGATTGCTTGTCTAACGCGGGCTCAGTATGAGCAAAGCGTTACTTCTTACCTGAGACCACCATAGGAAAAAGGGGTTGTCCGTGCGATCGTGGAAGACACGAGCGATTAAAGTTTACGTAACGATACCTCGGTATTAATTTTCTCCCTACCAAGGATAGACTTCTTGCTCGTACACCGACCGAATGATTTTCAGAAAAAAAAAAAAAGAAACAGTTAATTGATTTGAACAGGAAAATGCAATATCGTCTGTGTACTGAAGCATAACCCAAACATTTCAGGTTGTTCCGATAAATTTATTGGAAAACTCGATGCCCCTATGATGGCGTCATAGAGAACGCGTTCCCACGAGAACCAAGCTCATGCTTCTATCATTTCCCATAAAGACGCAAGAATGTTGGTCGTTCTCCCTCCGTTAAAAGGTGGCATGCGAGATAACGTTAGAGAATGCCCGGATATACGAGAACCAAGCTCATGCTTCTATCATTTCCCATAAAGACGCAAGAATGTTGGTCGTTCTCCCCCCGTTAAAAGGTGGCATGCGAGATAACGTTAGAGAATGCCCGGATAGGCGAATGTGTGTCGAGCAGTCTGCGACCCTTTTCGAAACCGTAACACACTGTAGCCAAGAAGTCCGCTGAGTCATGCATAATGCAAGCACAAAGTAGAGAAAGAGATGAACAGCAGAGGTGCAGGTAACGGGTGGGGGAGATGCTGAATCCGCAATGCAAATTTCACGCGGAAACTACCGATCGGTTGTCCTGGGGTCCGAATTTTTTTTTCGATTCTATAAATAATTTAGCCACTTCCAACGCAGGAGTGTATCTGGCTGCTTCATCTTGCTACCTTTGAATGAGAAAAGAATATATTTATGAGGGCAGGGTGAATCGTTGGCTCTTGGACCAATACAATTTCCCAGTCGAGACGAAGCTCGCGTCGCGAACACAAATGAAAACATGTAATAACTCTGTTTTTCGAGTGTTGATTCCAAAGATTTACTTGTCCAAAGGAAACGATTACAAATGTTAATAAGACAGAGCGCGTCTAAACATGGTTATTACATGCCAACGGAACACGATTTGCGCATGATCTACGAGACTTTAATTATGCCCACCGGGGGATCTCGGGAAAGAAACGTTATAGAGAAGAAAGATAGACGAAAACGTTTGCGTGAGTGTGGTTCGGCCGACAGGTTCGCTGGTTTAACAAGAACAGAATAATCAACGGAGCACGCAGAAGCGGGTCGCATTTTTGCTCGTCTGCGAGTGAACCCGCGGTGAATTAGCATGGAAATAAGCGTACGCGCACCCCGTAACCCATTACAGCCTCATCGTAACTTCTTATTTTCCCTGCCACTTCATCTTTACGCGCACCGAACATGCTAATAACCGTTATTAAATTAGAAACCTGTACCGTCGTCGTTCAGCGGCTTCCTTCCGCGGTAACACGCGATTACACGGCAACAAAGTCCAAGTTTTAAGCATGGTTGCGCATCACCTGCGCTCTGATCTTCGTGTATTAAGACATCCGACGTAAACGTGGGGCATCAGATGCAACCAAGTTCGCGAGGCACGGATACTTCGTTGCCTCATCATCTACCATTTTTATCGACCAAGGAGTTTCTGAAGTTTCCTCAGCCTCTACTTCTATCTTTCTGCCAGGATACGGTATGTGTATGCAGGTGAATTAAACTGTAATCAGGCGTATAACATCCGCGTGCTAAACTCAAGTTTGGCTTTCACAGCTCGTTTCGAGAACGAAATTCTCGGGGTAGAAGTGCAGGGACAGGTAAGGAACATTAAACTTCGTAGCCGTATGCTCTTTTAGAGGACTTCACGCACTATACCGTGACGCAGGGCTTCACTTCGCGACTTCTACTTCCACCGGGAAGAGAACAAGCCCCGTCGTGCAGGTTCCACCAAAGCACCATAAACATTTCACCTGAACCGTTGCCGCCCACTCGAAGCGGTTCTCCGCAATGTCGCAAATATTCTGGCGCCATCGGCCTCGAAGCCGGTGTCTAAATAAATACCCGATATCGTGTTCGACAGGGATTTACTTATGCATGCGAGTTCGCCGAGCCAAGAAGATCGAAAGCAGACGACGGTCGCTGGATAACACGTTTCTCTAGGAACGACGATGCGTACGCGCCAAAAACAAGTGGCTACCGGGGCTCTTCAACGAGGCGAGAAGAGAGCTACGATTTGTTTCACGCAAGAGGACACGTGGAGGGATCGTTGAATGAAGAGGCGAAGAGAGGAAAAAAAACAGCATCATTTCTGCTAAAGAGAATCGAACACGACTCAGGAGAGGACATACGACTCGCGACAAACACAGTCGATTGGATAAATGGGAACCGAACGATTATCTGATAATTCCGATTTTAGTGTGTTGATCGATTCCGTACAGACTCTTGAACACTTAACAGGACACCATATGGTGCTGAATTACGATTATCGATAGGAATTTTTTTCTTCAAATATGTCCACACTCAAAGCATCGACGTAAAAAAGGGTTCACATCACGGAAGCTAAGACACTCCAGATACTTAATCGCAATCTTCGATCTTCGGAGCAACGGGGGAAGCTAGGCAAAGTATACATTAACCAGGATTCGGTAGACCTAGTTGTGAGGGTGTACAATCCAGGTTACTAGCTGCCACGGTCTATCAAACAGCTGTTACCGTAAGCTAGTCCGAACTGCCGCCGGGGTAAATCATCCCTAACGGGCGATAAGGCCAGTCGGGCTCAACCCTCGAGTTCGCCTTATCACACTGGGCGAGTCGTTTGAACTACCCTCGTCGATGATGCTGCGACCAGGACCTAGGTCCTAGACCTAAACTGTTTAGAACTTTCCTCCTCGAATTTGGCAGAAACGAAGGAGGTTGGGTTCGTGGATGGCAGCCATGGCTACAAAACGCGATACCGTTCCGCAATAAGCCACGGGTCCGGTCTCCGTAACACGTTCTTGGCACAGGTGCCGGTTTACAACGCACGGTAGGTAAATTGACGGGGTGAACGTAGTAAAGGCGCATTAGCACTCGGCCAATAAAAGACCGGCACTGTTAACGCCGGTCCCCTCGGACCCGTATGTACACACAGGCGTGAAATTTACAGAGTCTTTCTGTCGTCATTGTCGACCGGGTGCGACTGCATTTTTCAGAGAACTTTACGATTCAGTCGACTGGGACGGGACCTTAACGGGCGGATGGATGGATCATCGAGTGTCGACCGTGAACGATAATTTTGACAAGGGAGAATTATTTACGTCAGTCACTGTTGTTGTATCTCCCTTTTATTTTTTCTTCATCCTGATCGGCGAATGTTTCACGAGACGACCGCTTAATAATAGACGGTTCAGTTCTAAATTTGCATCCACGAACAGAGAACACACCGTCCACGACCGCAGGCTTACGACTCCGTGTGAACGACCCCGAGGACTCATACGAAATGTAAATATTTACACGGGAGTGCAGCTGTCAGTGAAGGGGCGTATTCACCTTTTTCAGGTATGTAATGGACCCCCGATGCTTCCGAGGCTCTTCACACTCCATGCACGATACGCTCCACCCCCCCCCCTTCCCAAGCGTTAGGGTCATCTATCGGTTGCATAGAACTTTGGAATTTATGTCGAGGGACCGAAATATTCATACATTAAGAACTATAATTTCTATATAGTTAATTATATCCTGGACATACTATCGACATTAGTTATGATAAATATGCAGGGTCGGAAGTTAATTACACTACTAATATCGATGTAAAATATTCGGTTTATAAATTAATTCGCTTTCTTTTCATTTCCCACTGTGATTGAATCGTTCAATAATAATTCCTTGCCTGTTGATCGTTGGACCTACTAAACCTATTAAACACCACCCGCTACATA